GATTTTTTTGTATCTACTGTAGTCTCCTGTAGCTTGTCGCATTATTTTTCAAATGGCTTCTTGTCCTTTCCTGTCGTTAATTCCTGGGTTTGAGTAATATTTCATCCACTGTCCAAAATAATTGCGTATCCTAACTTCAAATACTCCGACAATATTGAAGATGTTTGCTGCGTATTATTAATTATTGGAACTTTTCGCTTTACCATCTAGAACTAAGCATTTGCACTCATGTTTATACGAGAAAAATTACCTATTTGTGCCGTAAAATACGCAATTAAGTTTAACAAATAGTAACAGCTAGTTTCCAGATATCAATGAATGTTTGTTGGATAATGGTAAATGTGAAATGAATTGTACCAACACTGTGGGATCATATCGTTGCAAATGTCCCAACGGTTTGAGGCTGAATCGAGACCAAAAATCGTGCGACGACATCAATGAGTGTCTGTTGAGGAATGGACACGGTCCGTGCCAGGACACTTGCATAAATTCTCATGGCGCTTACAAGTGCAGTTGCGATCGGTTAAATGGGACAAAATTGGGCAATGATGAGCACAGTTGCACTGACTTAGACGAATGTGCCCAAGGTACGCATTGTTTAATTAGTCACTCCAATTTCGCAGAAAACGATGTATTTTAGATAATGGGGGCTGTTCACATATATGCATCAATACTTTTGGAAGATTCTTCTGCTCATGCCCTGAAGGAATGGAATTATCGTCGGATTCTCAAACTTGCCAAGGTACGCACAATTACACAATGCAACTACGGAACTTTTTGAGAAAAACGAAAACCAAAAAAATAGTTAATGAGGCGGTTTTTTGGTATTAAACACATTTATTTAGTTCAGCAGGTATAAACATTTAACTTGCGTGGTCTAAAACAGTTAAAATCTTTAGAAAAACACTTTGTGTGTTGAAAGTTTCAACTCTGTAACACCCAGTATTCTCGGAAATATATTTTTTTAGATATTAATGAATGTGAAAACGAGCACATGAAAATTAAATGCCCCAATGGATGTATGAACACCCAGGGGTCCTTTAGATGTCTCAATATATCCGATTTGCAAAATGACGAATCTTATCAATACGTGGTCTGCCCACCGCTGTTTCCTCCAGAAAACGGCTATTTCAAATGTTCGAGAAAGCATGCATTAAAAACCCACACAAAGTCCGGTAGAAGACAAATTAAGAACAGCTTAGGAACGAAATGCTTTCTGGTGTGTCCTGAAGGTTTCAAACGACAAGGGCAAGGATTCCGCTTGAATTGCGGATATGGAGGACAGTGGATGGGGAAAATGGATGCTGAATGTGTAAGTTCTGCTCTTCATGTTAGCCGATCTTTGAAAATTTGATTTGATTTCCGTTTAATTGTCAATATATTGTGAAATTTGTGTTTCAGATCGCATTGGAAGCCCCTATCCAGAACAGATCAGCTTAGATAGCATTTATTTATTTTGCGTATTTAAAACATTTTGATTAGATTAGTGGATTTTTTAATAAATAGACGAATATATCTCACACATAAACATTTCAAGTGTGGGCATTTTCTAAGGCGGGGATAAATCTAACAAGTCAAGTGTGAGCCAATCCAGAGCCTGGCCCGAGTCCCACTTTTTGACTGTGTTTTTGACCAACAAGCCCGCTGCAAGCCTCCTACGAACGTATCAATCTTGTTTGACCAAGTTTACCAGAAACTACTTATTGGAGTAGAACGTGATCCTTCTACGAGCGGCGCGGGGTGGTCTCGCAAACCCCCATTAATAGGAGGAATTAGGCTTGTGGTTTCCGTAGCTCCGAAGCAGCTCGCACGTGCTTTGTTTTGTTTTATACTTTCAGATTAGTTTTATTCTTTGTTTATAATTACCTCTGGGCCCGCAAGAGCCGCGTTGGTGTCGCGCCCGGGTCACGCTGGTCACGCTTTAAGACAAGCTCAGAATCATAGATAAATACAAGTAGACGAGCTCGGAATGCGCTCAAAACCATAGATAAAGACAAACGATCCAGGGATCCAGGATCGCGCTAGGGTCGAGCTTGTATGATATGTGTAAGGTGCGATTGCGATTATTTCAGCCTATATTTCGCACTTAATTTAAGTATATATGTAAATTAAGAACTGAAGTCAATTACCTATATGAAAATTTGATGACAAACCTGCACGGAAAAACAGAAAAAATTTTAAAAAATTACAAAAATAAAACCCAGATTGATACGCTGAACACTGTTTAGTAGAAAAGCCTATAAATATTACAAAATAAATTAAAATAACTGATTGCCTGTAGTGAAGAAGGACATTGGTGACATTGATGACATGTTTTGATTGCTGCACCATCAAAACCACCAAAAAACAAAAAATCATTGTTGCCACCCTAATAACTTTGTCAACGCTGGTTGCCACTTCAAATTTCTAAATGTAATGTTGACAATTTCAGGTTATATTGCCCATCAAATATTTCGCAAAATAAACTAAGATCGCAGATTAAAAAGCAGATTCTCATAAAATATCTTCATTATCGTCAAGTGGCATAGAACCGTTTCAGTTGTGCATGTGCATTAAATCCCTCACACTGAGTACAAATTAGCCTCCATAATGGGTAAGAGCTTAGGTCTTTATGTGGAAAATGCTAAAAATCAGCCAAATTTGTTGTTTTTCAGCCTTTAAACTCAATTATAGCTTTGAAGGCAACATTAAGTCCCGACCAGAACAAAATTTGGCAGGTGCCAGCAAGAAATTAACCAGAGATTTACTTCTGCAGAAGACTCAGGAAGAAAGGCGCAAAAGACAGGTACACTATCCTTAACTCTCTGTAGTTTATTTGGACGAAACATTGATCCGATCCATAGGAACAAAGAGTGAAGCTTCAAAGTGCTGAGCTGCTACAATCGCACATTCGCAGCTATCTGGTGAGGAAAGCTGTAAAAGAGATACAAAGGCAAGAGTATGTCTCAAATGAAAGTGGTTTGGGAGCAATGGACAAGCTGAAGAAGCTCTTGTTCTTCTATGATCATCAAACAGATTTTCCAAAGTTGGTGAGTAGCTGGCCCTTAATTAGTTAGTAAAGTTAAATGGAAATATTTGCAGTTGAAATTATCCAATGAGCTTCTACTGCATGTGAGCGAAGTGATTCAAAGAATAAACATCGATACTCAGTTCAGTTGGATGATGAAAAGATTGCTGGTGATTTGTATTAAGCACATATCCATTCATGACGATACAGCTACTTTGATTTGTATGATCGCTACGTTTAGTGACAATCCAAACACTTTATTCTATTTGATTAGAAAAGGTGAATTTAAAATTAATATATATAAGAGAGTCGGTTAAATGCGGTTGCGGTATGTTAAAGGTTTGCCGCGTTGTGAGCGGAGTTTAAAGCCATAATGGATATTTCAAAAAAGGCAATCTTACCTGACTTCTAGTTTAGAAAAGTGTAGATCAGTTGCTGTTGATGGCGAAAGACCACAATGGACGAAACCCCCATAATTTACTCTCCTAATCTGGGTCACAGTGTTATAAATTCACTGTTTTCAGGTTATTTCTCCTATCTGAGAACGCTACTGGATTCAAGCTCACCAGACTCCTTACCCCAAGTAATGCTTTTAATTCAGCGGCCGTTTAAATTCTTAAACAACTTTGGCCCATCGCAAGATATGGTACTTGCGGAGTTTTGCAATACTTTTTTAAAGCCAACGTTGACTTACAACCTAAAGTATTATCTTATTCCCTTCATGAAGCAGACCCAAGATTCTACATACTATGATAAACTTATTAGATACTTGAACGGCGTTCATTATCTAGTGGAAAGCAATAGCTTATTTTACTGCATGCTAGCACTCGAACCAGCGGACTATGGTAAGTTTGCAACTCGTTATTAAATGCTTTTTAAAATTGATTTGTGTTCTAGAGCCCAACCTGGATAGTGTCCAGGTTCTATCTATGCTTAGCAAAGAAATTCACACATTAAAACCATCGCTAGACCTAACTGAGGACAGTGATTGTGAAGATGGAGAAGACGTTGAAGTGTCTGCAGGGGAAGTGTTACTTTCCGACTATTTGAACATTCTAAACAGCTCAAATAAAGTGAGGAAATGGATGCATTTCTTGGAATCGAACTCAGACGACGCCCGGGTTCTTACTGCATTTGTAAATCTTGCTCAAAACCTGCTGCTTGTTTACAGGGAGTCAATCAGGAAATATCTGTAAGTGCACAATCTTTATCCTGAATTAATAACGTTATTTGAGAGTACATTTCAGATTGCTATACAAACTTGGGTTGAACAGTACATTTTTGAAGAAATTATGGTTTGCAATATCCAAAAAGTCAGCAGACCTGCAGATAAATGGCACCTCTTTAGTTTCTTGGAAAAGTTGCCATACACAACTATCAGTTTTCTGTGATATGTTCACGTTTTACACCGAAACCTTGACTGATAAAGGTAAGCGCCTAAGTTGATTTCGGCCTTTACAATCTAAATGATATATTTTTAGAAAATTCCGATACCAGCGAAACTTTCACCTCGAGCGATCTGCATACAATGTCAAATCTCTTAAAAAGGATCGCAGTTGAGTTAATTGAAATCGCTTTTCCCATGTGTAGAGCAAGTTCGGTAAGCTTTGTGGCCATTTATATTATACGATATCACCGAATATGATTTTAGGTATTTGCAACCCCCGAAATTAGTCACCTGTATCAGTCTTGCATCAACTGCGTTAAGATGCTGTACACTCTGGACATGAGAAAGCAGTTTTGTCCACCCGGTTTCTGGACCGCACGGAAAATACATGTTTCACAGGATTTAACCAAAAAGAACTATCTATCGCAGGTGTTTTCGCCATTCGGAGGAGTGATTAAAAATGTGCATGGTATGGTCTTCAAAGTTAAATTAACGAGCATTAAAGAGTCATTTCTGTCCGGATTCCTTTGGCGCAGTTGTAAGGAAAACCAGGCAACAAATTACACTTGGAACTTAGTTCTCTGCGAGGCAGAAACGCAAAATTGATTTTTTTGGTGAAACGCAATGCTGAATTTTAAAATATTGGTCTGATCAATAAGCTATGAACAATCTTGTTAAGTTAGTTTCTCGCTAGTGATTTGATTTATTATTGGTAATATTATGCCGCGTCTAGAAATAACAATGCGAGCCTGAGCCGCTACAAAATTCTTTTAATATTTCGTCAGATGTCGGTGTTTTGACGAAGCATCTAAGAAAATTTGCCACGGCTCGGGATCGGCTCGTTAGGTCTGGTTTTTTTCTAAAACGGCTGACATTGGGGCCGCTGACTAAAGATAGTATGTAGAATAATGCGCTGTAAAAACATTGAATTCATGCTCATAGAAAAGCTAAAAGTATTCGCAAAATGCGAACAAATAAATCTCAAATACTCAATATAGTCAAATATCTGTAAATATAGCAAACAACCTACCGCCAACGTTTTCATTCAATTTTGACATGTTTTCACATGGCTTACCGTGTATATCTATTTACCAAACTTGCTTTAAACACCCTACTAATTAATAAAAACTATTATTTTATAGCGGATGATGAGCATTTGCCTCCTTTATCGACAATTGAGCAAAGATCTTTAGCAATCCTCCAAGAACTTCCGTTTCTTGTGCCGTTCAACACTCGGGTTCACTTGCTTAGAGATTTGTGCCGATTTAGCTTGGGAGAAAACGAATATCAGCGCATGCATCACGATCTATTACATGATAATACTGTTGTGATTAGGCGAAATTACCTATACGAAGATTCGTTTGAAAAAATTTCCACTAAAAGCGGTAAGCAACGTTAATAATTGCGAGTATTTGCTTCATTGAATTTTTCTTAAATTTATAGAATCGGACTTGAAGCACCGGGTGAGAATTCAATTCATAAACAATATAGGGCTGGAGGAAGCAGGCATTGATGGAGGAGGAATCTTTAAGGAGTTTATCAATGAGGTTCTAAAGACCGCTTTTGATCCTAATCGGGGATTTTTTTTAATGACTGCTGATAATACGTTGTATCCCAATCCCAATGTTCATCTTATAGTGGAAAACTTCGAGGAGCATTTCACTTTTATTGGACGTCTAGTTGGAAAGGTTGGCGAAATAGTTTGGTGTAAAAACACTTAAGTGATCGTTGAATCATTTTCAGGCAATATTCGAAAACATATTAGTGGACCTTCCTTTGGCTGAATTTTTCCTAGCAAAACTGCTAGTTGATAGAGCGAGTGCCTGCTATCTGAAGTCGCTAGACCCCGTTCTCTATAGAAACTTGTTATACCTTCGTGACTATGCTGGGGACGTTAGTGATTTGGGGCTCGATTTTACCACTGTAAACAACGATCTAGGCGAGACCCGAGTGAGTTAACGGTATTCGGCAAAAAGACATTTGTTGTTGAATTACCAGGTATTGGTTTAGATAATGGAACTAAAAGCCAATGGAAGAAATATTCCATTGACGAATGAGAACAGATTAGAATACATTCAACGACTCGCCGATTTAAAATTGAACACGCAACTGAAGAAGCAATGCGCAGCTTTCAGGGAAGGCTTGAATAGTGTTGTTCCACTTCTATGGCTGAAACTTTTCAATCACAAGGAGCTTCAGGTCATCATTGGTGGTGATACCCATGAGATTGATTTGGATGACTTAAGAGCCCATACTACTTATTCGGGTAATTCGCATGTAACAAAACCCGAAAATTTCGTAAAACTGGCGTTATTTCTGTAGGCGACTTTACGGATGAGCACCCCACGATGTTGTTATTTTGGAGAATCCTGCATGGTTTTACGGACATTCAAAAAAGGCAGCTACTTAAATTTGTAACGAGCTGTTCGCGCCCTCCGCTGCTAGGGTTCAAGGTAAGGGTTTGAAGATTTTTTGCTAAATTGCGGAAAAACACTATGTTTTTCTTCAGCCTACATTTTAAAGTAGTCTCCTTCAAATCAACCAAATGATTTTGTTGATTTGAGCTTATTTTATACAAGTGCAACACCAACAAGTTCTCTTACAGAGCTTTGATGGTGGATAACAGTGATTTTTTCGCAAACTTTACTTTTCTTGTAAATTTTGTCAAGGTACTAAAGGGACATTTTCAGGAATTAAACCCACCTTTTTGCATACAATCGTCTGGTGTTGAAAACCGAATGCCAACAGCAAGTACATGTTTAAATTTGTTAAAAATACCCATCATTAAAGAGGAAAGGGACCTTCAATCGAAACTTCTCTCTGCAATAGAACAACAGGCTGGGTTTGAACTATCTTAAGTGCTGTAAGTGATCGTGTTATAAACATCTATTTATTTTATTTGTAGAAAGTTATTGTATCCTTTACCACTGTAAATAATGTACATCAACTATTCGCATTTTTATCTATAGGAAGGGCAATTTTCGAGTTGCTCTCTTTATAATTTTATTGTGTAGGCTGCAATGAATATACACATTCAGGTAATTTTGCCGATAACTCCGAGTCGTATACATATTATTCCGTTCAGTCGAAAGGGGCATAAATTAATTGAATTATGCGTGGAAAATAATCTAGTAATCACCAATACTGGCTCCAAATACTTGGAATCCCAACAAGATCGAAAAGGCAAAGTCCAAAAAACCAAGTTTACTATGTTGCGGTTAATACCCCGTTTAAAATTCTATTAATAATAATAGAATCTTTATTTCTTTTGATAAAAGGTGAAGCTATAGAACATACCCAGCCTTGACCTTACAAGGGGGAAAAGTAAAGTGAGTAAAAAAGATAAAACTTCTAATTTATTTGGCTAGATATATCCATATTATAAGCGTCAATTTAATTGTAATATATTTGAGACACATTGCTTTATACACTTCTTTCTAATTAGGTAAATAGGATACCTTACTTTGCCAACTCTGAGGCTTTATCCTTCTCGTGTTGTTCCTTGATTTGTCTGTGCCATTCAATGTTTTGCCTTTGAAGACTTTTGCCCTCCTTTGCATCTTGCTTGCCAAGATAAACCATAAGGAGGCAGCCGATTGCAGTACCTGCCATCATGTAATTGGCAATTCGAATCCTCATGCGATTTCTCACTGTTTGGATCAGAGAATGACTCACGAAAGCTGGTACTTCCTCAATTGTCTTGTATTTGCCTGCCCAAACAAGGAGTCGTTTTTCCATGCCAGTCACTTGATGTGAGGCTGATAAATTGCTGGGATCACTGCTATAACTCCTGGTTCCAGTCAAGCCTTTGAGGCAAAGTTGACTCGGAAATAGTTTTTGAAACATTGTAAACCCCATAATCTGTTAAATAAGGAAGCATGTCAACGACAATTTGTGACTCAGGGGGATTTCTTAATGATTTCATTGCAGGCTTTTCTGGGTTAGACATTGCCCTTGAGTGAAGGAGACTTTCTTGTCACAGTAACTATCGAACTACTCTCTAAAGATGTTCTTTCACTCAAAATGAGAAATTACTTACATATCAGCAGGTATACTTGATAAAGCAAAATTAAGTAATCATAAACTTGAGATTGATCATTGAAGTTAACCTTCTGTGGTTAACCTATCTGTTTGCTTTTGCTGCCACAAAAGTCATTTTTGTTTCGTCCATTGGCATCGCTTTCTCTTTGCGTTCCTTGTATATGTGCTATGGTTACGTGTGGTGACACTGATTTTAGATAGGTGACATTCTTGACGCTAAAGACGTTTAAAACGCATTGGCGGATTTTTTCTTTCTGACTTCATTTCATTGAGTGTGCTTGTTCTCGATTGATCGAGCTAAGGTCTCTGACGACTTGCACAAATTTTAATTTAAAACAAAAATGACCACCACCGCTGAATTAGCTTGCGTTTATTCCGCCCTCATCTTGGCCGATGATGATATCGCCGTTACCGTAAGTAGAAATTCAATTATCATCCATAAGATACCATAATTTCAAATGCGGCGGGACATCAAATCCAAAATTGTTTTCACTAATTATAGCCATCCGCTATGGAATTCTCGCCCAGAAGAATAAGAAAAGGCTGTTTTTGAAGTTTTTATTTATATTTTTTATCCCAGTCGCTCTGGATGTAGTTTTTGGAAAGTTAACCTCACATTGCCTGTAAACATGTCCTGGCAAGTTTAGCTTGTTTTGAAATACACACGGCGTCTGGAAGTGAAGTCGATATTTTGAGAGATAAATAACGGCTTTGTTCCACCAACATTTGTTGGTTTTCAACCGACCTTTAGAATCTCTTTTCGATCGCCCGCAAGAAAATTACGTTTGATCATTTTACATATTTAGTACGTGCACGGCATTTGTTTTATCACCTTAAGGGCCGAATTTCACTCAAATTGGAGGTACGACTGTTTTTTCACCTCACTACTATCGTAAATATTGAAACGGGAAAAAAACACAAAAACTTAATATTCCTCCTAATTCGGGCATTTGTAACAAAGTACATAATCAAAGACAATTAGTTAAGTAATAACAATCAAGTAAGTGACTTGAAATTTCCGCCTGGCACGGTAGTCCAGTGATAGAAAAAGGACAATTATAACTACCAAAAAGCTTGGGACAGACTAGTAAGACCTTTAGAAATTGTTGCAGGATTTCAATTTCAATTAATTGTAGTAATTTTTCCAGGGTGAAAAAATTCAAACCATTTTGAAGGCGGCCAATGTTGAAGTGGAACCTTACTGGCCTGGCTTGTTTGCCAAGGCTTTGGAAAATGCCAACATTCGGGACTTAATAACTAATATTGGGTCCGGTGCAGGTGCACCTGCTGCGGCACCTAGTGGAGCTGCAGCTCCAGCAGCTGCTGCTGCTGCACCTGTTGCGGCACCAAAGGCTAAGGAGCCCGAACCTGAAGAAGAGTCCGATGAAGACATGGGACTTGGTTTCTTCGATTAAGAAGAGAGACGTCTAGTTTTTTTATGATAAAACAAAATAAAAACCAGACTGTGAAACAGTTGTATTAATTGTAATATCCTGTCGTCAATTCTCCATCCAAGTCAGTCTTTTTAGTACCTACCCTTTGAAAATGGCATGTATTCATTTAATATGATAGATTCTGAAAGTTGCAATAATGAAGATGAGCAGTTTTATGAATTTCAGGTAGGTTTCCAATTTGGTACCAGATATTAAAGCATGATAAGATTCATTTGCAGGTTAGGTTTAGTTACGTGCAGATAAAATAATTTTTTAGTTCTATCTAATACAATGAATGTGGCTGTTATCATGAAACCCGTGGAAAAGAATCCTGGCTGTGAGCTTGGTAAGAGCCCCATTTTAGTTCTGTATTAATGGTCGTAGATGTTAAACTATAGACTGAAGAAACCTAAACATATACAATACTCAGCTACCTCTTATTGCGACTTCTATATCCTGATATGAGAAAGGTGTTTGTGATTCAAATCATTTCTGGACTCCTGAATATTCAGGAGTTAGTTTGAGCTTTATTGTTATTACGGGAATAGTTTTCGTTATAAACATTTTGAAGCAGAAGCAAAACTCCTTTTGCATATTTTCAAGAAACATCTATGAGTTATTGATGAGCTTTTTGAGGCTTAAAAAATATTTGTACTGGCGGGTTGACTTGAAATGTTTTACATGTGGAAAGTAAGCTTCGAATACGCATCTAGAGCAGGGGCGGATCCAGCTTTAATATACATAATGTAGAAAAAATACAGTCTTCTGTTATCTATGAAATTAGAAAAATGATCGTCGTTTTGTGCAAGGGTGGCGCAAGATTATTGCAAAATTTCATG